CAGTCTCGTATCGTGGATACAAAACGCATGCCTCACGCAAGTTCCAGTCTCGTATCGTGGATACAACATGCATGCCTCACGTAAGATCCAGTCTCGTATCGTGGATACAACACGCATGCCTCACGTAAGTTTCAGTTTCGTATCGTGGATACAACACGCATGCCTCACGTATGTTCCAGTCTCGTATCGTGGATACAACACGCATGCCTCACGTAAGTTCCAGTTTCGTATCGTGGACACAACACGCATGCCTCACGTAAGTTCCAGTTTCGTATCGTGGATACAACAAGCCGGCCTCATCTGCTGGGTAATGAGGCGTCGCTGATTCATGTCTGACGAAAATTCGCTTGGACCACATCAGTCGGAAAATCAACGTTCGCGCCAGCGGTTACTTTATTTATCACCACTATGACATTGTGGACGAGTGAGTGGATCACCGAAGTAAAGGGTTGCGGAGGCTACGTCACGTAGGCATGCGCATTAATCTACTGCCCTGAAAGCCGTTATCTGCGACGCCCCCAGCGGCGTGGCTTGGGCAGGAACTCACAACCAACGATTTAATATTGGCCGGGTAGTACGTTCACTTCGGACTGCTAATCCTGTTTTCGAAAAATTCTCTTTGTTATCAAAGATCTCCTCTTCCGTCCAAGGCATCGTTGATTTATGTGACGAATGTCTCAATATTATAGATTCGCCGCTCGTTGACTCCTGACCATTTGCAGCTCCACAGCCTGCTGATGAGATGCCCTCCAGGTGCTCGGCGCCCGTGTGTTGCCGCCCGTGTGTTGCCGATGATGATGTGCACTGATTATTATTAATGTGCTCTGGTGGCGTTGCTTGAAGTTGTCGTCCGCGTTGTGTCGCAGGAGCGTTGATCGCGACCAGCGCCCATCAGGAGCGCCTGCCGACGCCCGGGAGATGGCGGAGCCTGGCCCAGGGACGACACTTAGTGAACGACTGCGACGTCACGAGCAGTTGCAACGTCCTTTGGACGTCGCCGTGCCACCGCAACGTTCTTTGGACGTCGCCGTGCAGCCGCCACGTACTTTGGACGTCGCCGTGCCGCCGCAACGTTCTTTGGACGTCGCCGTGCCGCCGCAACGTCCTTTGGACGTCGCCGTGCCGCCTCAACGTTCTTTGGACGTCTCCGGGCCGCCGCAACGTTCTTTGGACGTCGCCGTGCAGCCGCCACGTACTTTGGACGTCGCCGTGCAGCCATCTCCTTCGGAGCCGTAAGTTGTTGCAGCTCGATACATTCTCATGGTGACGATACTTGCTCGCGTTTTAATTTAATTCTACTTGCTAGTGTATTTACCCTCCAATTTACTAGTGTATTTACCCTCCTACTTACTATTGTATTTACTCTCCTACTTACTATTGTATTTACCCTTTAATTTACTATTGTATTACCCTCCTAGTTGCTATTGTATTTACCCTCATACTACTGTTGAATTAACTCTCCTACTTATCATTGTATTGCCCTACTACTTACTATTGCATTTACCCTCCTACTTACTATTGTATTTACCTCCTACTTAGCTGCATGCCACTCTGAGGGCATGAGCTGCATGCCGCTCTGATGGCATGAGCAGCATGCCGCTCTGATGGCATGAGCTGCATGCCGCTCTGATGGCATAAGCAGCATGCCGCTCTGATGGCATGAGCTGCATACCGCTCTGATGGCATGAGCTGCATGCCGCTCTGATGGCATGAGCAGCATGCCGCTCTGATGGCATGAGCTGCATGACGCGCTGATGGCATGAGCTGCATGACGCGCTGATGGTATGAGCTGCATGACGCTCTGATGTCTTGAGCTGCATTGGAGGCCATGTTTCAAAAAGTCCTCGTATGTAATCGAGGCAGAACTGTATATGTTGGTCACCGAAATGCTACTATCAGATTAATAGTCGTTCACTGACAACGACGAAACTGGCACCAGTCAATCTGAGAAATTCATGAAAACGTTGAATGGGACAAAACTAAACTTGTGGTAGACTAGAGCGACAAGTCGTGTGCGCATAAACTGCCAACTTGATCTTTTTGCAAACCTTTGAGTATAAGAAAAAATCAGAAATTCCACGGATTAGCTGCACAATTGGGATTATTGTGCACTCCGAGGGACGGAACTATAGGAACTAATGGATCCTGCTGAGTTTAATATTTCAGGAAATGTCGTTATTTTTGGGTATTGATATTTTAATCATACGAGCAGACTCTATGATGAAGTAAGGAAGCAATCAGAAGAGCCATAACTGGCCTCAGTGTAAGTGGAGGAAGCGTCGGATCATGACTCATTGCCGTCTATTAAATCAGTAGTAATACCGGCTGGGTAATTTAGAATTAATACCAGCAGGGTAATTCAGCAGTAATACCAGCAGGGTAATTCAGCAGTAATACAAGCTGGTAAAACAACAGCAATTCAGCAATAATTCGACTGAAATTCATTAGAAATTCAGCAATTATACCAGCTGGATTAAACAACAATAATTCAACTGAGTTATTCAGCCCTAATTCGACTGAATACTTCATTAGTAACTCAGCAGTAATTCAGCTGGCGAGAAGGTCTTTCCAATAAGACATAAATTACAACATTCATTTCAGCTGCAAAAACTCATTCTGCTGTGGATCATTTCTCGGGCCTCGTTCAAGTTCCAGAAAAGCGATGGAGGCTGCGGGACTCCGGTAGTTTCCTTCGTTGTCGCCTCAGGAATTTATGCAGAAATAGATTTTCTCTCCCATGATTAATTATTTTTGTCATTACTTAAGCAACGTGATATATGAAACCTGGTCGCAAGTTCAGCATTCATTTTTCGTTAAGGGAGCGTGTGGGTTCGGAACAACGTTAATTTATTTACCGATATTGATGACATTTTATATTCACATGTAAAACATTTTTACAAGCACATTTACATTACATCACAAGAATGTATTGAGAAAACGAAAACAAACATAACATGCAAAGAAAATGTAAAAGGTTAACTTTTAAAAATTTTGAACTCATATAGTTTTGAAAAAATAACATTATATTCCTAACACACATGACCGTCGCCTATAGAGCTCCTTTTTTAGATATCGTTTTCACTTCCATTATAGGGTGTTTTTTTCCCCACCAACATACTTTTCATCCTACAGTGCCTTGCAAATTAAATCAGACAGCGCTGAAATAAGACAAGTATTGGCAAAATTTAAGTTTTATGTACAAAAAACATGTCAATGCTACAAGAGACGATATAATTAATAAGAGATATGACCTCCTCTTGCTTTTATAAGCATATGAACACGATTTCGCATAGATTTGACCACATTTGAACACATTTTATACCATTTCTTCATCATTATACCAGCCCGCTTATCAGGCCAGGAAAGATAACGGGTGTTAGCGCCCGCAACTACGCTCATTTTTTGCAGGTATAGTGCACAAAAATCACGAGTTTCATTACTTTAAGTAAATTTTACTTTTTCCGTGAAGTTAGCAACGTCACGTAGGAAGTTATATAAAGCCGCGTTCACCTCAAGCTCTCAGTCATTACCTTCAAGGCGATCCTAGGAACAGGTAGGAATGCGGTAGGCCAATTGAATATAAATCCTTGCACTTAATTCCTGCATTACTGTCATACTGTATTGTTTATTACTCAAAATAAAGACAGTTAATAGTCAGATTTACTTTTTCAGGTCTTCAAACTGTCAAGGGTTCCATTTCATTACACGTCATTCGTAACGACATATACAAGATTGCAATTAGCTCGTCAATTAAATTCCTTCGTGCTTGTCTGCCTTATTAGCAGCCAAATTTCAATCATATGAGGAAACCTCCTTCGTCTGATAATACATCTCTTTCGTGAGTGTAATGACCGTTGCAATACACAGGTGTGGAGTATTATTTTTAGCGTTCATAACCCTAAAGCAAGTCTTGCATCCTGCTTGGTTTTCCTCTCAACTTTCACACATTCCATCAATAACAGCTTCGCAACTGGACATATGAAACATGAGAGCAATGCCGCTTTGCGATGGCTGGGAAATGGACAGGAATTGATTGATAAACATCCGTGAGGCCGTCAGATTGCAGTTGATATTTTTCTTGGTTCAAGTTTAATACGAGGCACCCTTGCTTTGATTACTGCAGAAATTTACGACTAGAATGCATAAAGGATGTTTTTCAATCGTCAGAAATACTCATTCTACTGTGGGCCATTGACCAGTTCAAAATTCTCTCCGTGATTGCGGCAGTTTGACGCAGGCACCTCGCAAGCGTGTCGATCTGAGCCTTTTTTGCCCACTTGAACCCGCGTTCAAGAGGTCTACAGACGGCATGGCCACCTCTTCCCTGGACAGCGAGCGGCCTCTGTAAGTGAGGACAATTAAAAATGAAATCCTCTGCTTACATTGATTATGCCGGTGGTAATGATTCGAGCGTTGAGGAGGCATGCAGGGAGTGGAGGAAGGTGGAGGAACAGGAAGAAAGAAGGATATCGACATCTAATTCAAATAGCATGAATTTTCACATGTGGAGTTAGCTAAAACCAGAAAGGACTTAATCGCATTATATACCTATTCATTCGCTAGTTCCATTCAGTTTTTTGTGTATTCAGGTTATTGTCATGAAGTTATGTTGTAAAACACTAACTCGATGCTTATTCATGTGGTAACTGCCAAAATAAAAAAAAAACACTCGGGAAATAAAAAAAAAATAAAATAAACACTCTGGAAATGCTGCAATTACGTGATAAAACTCATGCCAAAATGAACAGCAAACGGGAACGAACAGGACTATGAAGGAATTGCTGAGCACCGCTGTTCTTCAGTTTTCAAACGTCTGTTGGCTGGCAGATAGCACTGAGTATGAGTGATGCGTCGAATCATACCTAATTTTGGATTATAAACAGAGGTAAGGCAAAGAACTAACGTCCGAACTTACAGTTCGTCTCATGCGCAAATATCACGGGGGAATTTTGGCGAGTGCACTATGTCATGTGCATGGAACTTAACTATCTATCGAGTGCATGGAACTATCTTATTGTCGTGCATATTAAAGTGGATGATGAACCGTGCAAGGTGGATGATGGACCGTGCATGATGGACGATGGACCGTGCAAGGTGGATAATGGACCGTGCTTTGTGACTATTATAATTTAGTGTGACTAGGCCCACTGGATTACTGTCATACTGAATATCTGATTCAACTTATTATTACCATGATTGTAAAAATGCTGATTTCTATTATAATAAAAAGGTAAATATAATTGCTTCATTTTAAAAGAAATAACTTGACCGAAAACCACAATGATACAAAGGATTATGGTTTGCAGTAGGATTGTGAACCCCTTCATAATCATGGAAGTAAGATACAGGCGCACCAGAGATTAATGAACTCCACCATACCTGCTGAGAAGGAAGGCAAAGCATTGATTGGAATCGCCACCTTGCACCTCATCTGTACGTAATGCGTACGTCATGCCTCATTATTGGGAATTTGGTGCATACAAATTCTAGGCGTCGAGGATGTTATTAAGTTTATTTTCTGGTTACCGCTTCTTAATTTGAAACTTACTTGTGCCCAGAATCCTTGGATTAAAATAAGCTGCACCAGGTTATTCACTGCCCTTCATTCCCGTATTTACATCTCGATTACGACCAGTACATGCCAGTGGTTCCCCACTACACAGACATTCATACAGACGACATTCATACTTCTATCAAGTTCAGGGACAACTGAGGGTTACAGGGAGAAATAAGTGCATCTTCGTGACGTGGATCCCCGAAGATATGCATATTGAACATATTGAAATGGAGAAAACGTTTTGGCAAGAACGCATGGAAGATCGTCTTAAATCATTTTAATTGCAAATCCTGTTATCTCGTATCGTCAATGGCATGTAAAAATTAAACAGCTAGCTTACGCGTCTTGTGTTTTGTTCAGCATCAACTGAATGTTATTATGTAAATAATCTAAATTAGAAATTGTCATTTGTTAATATATGATACTAGCTTTACTTCTATCAGTTGCACATTCATTGCATGAATTACTCATGAATAAAATGCACATTATTATAACAAATGACAAGGGTGAGAATATTCATATCATGAAATAAAAAGAATATTTTATTTTGGAATACCGAACAAAATAAGAATTTGCGTTCCGTTACTACATCAACGATCAATTTAGCGCCAGTAATTACTCTGTGATCTTTTGAGTAATAACTGCCAATTACTTCTAGTAAAAATTATATAAGAATTAGAATTAACCAGTAGCTGTATATTGTACATGGTTTATGATTACAGTATAAGCTTTCATTTTCACAGGCGTTTTTCTAACCTTTTCACTGCTTATTAGGCACAAATAATGTTAAACTGTTGAATATTGGCATGACATATAATCGCATCAAAAATGGCGATCTGATGTAGTAAGCAATTCCACTGCTGCTTTTTTAACGTTTCAAGATTAAAATTCTACACAGATATGGACTATAGGCATGAATGTAGAGCGACATTCTGTGTTTGGGGTGAGAAGGAGGGCGAGGGGTATAGGGTTAAAAGTGCCATCTCGTCCAGGGACAACCCCAAAACATTGCCAATATCTGCGAGGTTCAAAACACAAGATTGTTTACAAATGTGGCGGGTAGATGACGGAGTAAGGGTGAAGTCGTAGGGGAGAGCACATATCCTTACCTATCGAATTTCTATGGAGGCTGAGGTGAGGATCAAATCAGCAAACTGTCTGAACATCTCTACATATTTTACCATATTTTATGATTTGAAATTTCTCGCACTTGATATTGCGATTGATGTTTCTGGAATTAAATATGAGTCTACACGCACTTCTGATATGGTAGCGTAGCGCGACTTCGCAAGTCCGTGAATGCAACTTTAAAATATAATTTGTAAATAAATTTTTTATAAATAAAATAAAATAAAACTTTCGACGGTATTTTTAGAGCGCATAGTATATGCCGTAACAATGTTATACGGCGATACCGTACTACATCCCTCCGTCTCTGAGTTGAGGCAACGATAACCGGCTGAGATAACAACATAGAAGACGATTGAGTTTGGGGAGGACAATGTCAGAACAATGGGAAGGTATATAGGGAGGGTTGAGTCATGGGGTTGAGCGCATGAGGCGAATTCATCAACTCTCTCGTTTTATACTGAATTACTGATTTAAATTATTATTATTATGATTGTAAAAATGATGAATTATATAATAAGAAAAGGCAAATATAAATACTTAATTTTAAAGCAAATAACAGGAGTAAAAACCATAATGATACGAAGAACCATGTTACGTAGTACCATTGTGAAAAAATTTGCAGCTATATTTGACTAACTGCTACATTAGTATTACATGAGACTACACGTTCAAATAAAGTTTGTATCCTAAATTGTTGAAGTCAAAACATGTCCAGTGGTTAATGAGGGAATCGCAAGCTCATAAATTTCACTCTCGGCGCTGTCAAGTGCTCCTTCAGTGCCTTCCCTCCTCCACGGACCGTGAGTGGCAAGCGGTCGGCCAGAGCATGTTAGCTCCGGCCGCCCACCGGCAATTCACCGGCCACCTAAAGCCGCCCCTTGCCTCAAACAATATCCTTGAGGCCGGGGGTGTGTTAGCCACAAATATGTGGCTGAAGTGATAACGAGACCATGGGCTGGTGACGGCCGAACTTACACGCGAGTGCAGATTTTACAATGATCCGCTGGCCTTAGGAAACTCAGACTTCAGAGAACTCAATGTTACAAATTAGAAATTAGTTAACATTACTATGTGTCAATATATATTAATTAATGATACCCGTCAGTCATTCATTGAACAAATTTATATATGAATACGAAGGAGCCTGTAGCTATACAGTGCACCTAATAACTATACAGTTATTTATAGTTATAGTAGGTAGGTGAGGGGACGAGGGGACACACCGCAACCTGACACTACCATCGGCTCACACCAATAAATTAGTCCTCAACCCTCCCATACCCCACTCATCCTCTCCATCGTCGTCCTCACTTCCCCAAGGCTCGCTGTTGTCTCGACTCGCTGCCAGACGCTGCCGCCAAAATTTACTCTGAGTTAACCCAGTGTGCCGAGTTTAGATTTGGAGCGACCGTGAACGGGCCACTTAAGGCAACATTTAAATTATTCTTATAATTAATTATTTAATTGCTATTATTATTAATAAATTATGTTATTCTTGTAACGTTTTGTTTGATCGTTTCCTTGAATGAATGAATGAAACAGGAAAAAACACAAAAATTTTCATTATAAGAAATAAGGAAAAAATAGACGGGTGTAAAATAGTTTTATACCATCTAAGAAAATCGGTCAGAGTGAAGTGGTTCTTAACCGACTTTAAAAACTATAATTATTCGAGAACAAATTTAAATTCTCGTTGCAGAACAGGGAAGACATTTAATTTAAAAGATCTTGCATCTTTTAAATCAAATTTTTAAATTTAATTTGATTTTTAAATTTTTAATTCAAATTTAAAATTGGCAAATAAATTCAATTTTTCCTGTCCCCCATCATGTCCTACCTTTCCTCCAATCCTCTCCTGTTCTCCACCTAAAAGTGAAATTTCAAGTCCAGGTAATATACTGACACGATAAGTATCCTGGATACGCGCCCCAACAGCTAACAGCCCCTATGTACAATATCCCGACACGATAAGTATCCTGGATACTCGCCCCAACAGCCCCTATGTACAATATCCCGACACGATAAGTATCCTGGATACGTGTCCCAACAGCCCCTATATACAATATCCCGACACGATAAGTATCCTGGCTGGCATTTCGGTCGTTTCAGAATGTGTTTTCCGCTAATGACATTCGTAATTCAACCCCGAAAATCACATGACTCGAATTTATTAGTTCACAGAACTACTTCGCAATCTATTGAAAATTTTCATTGGTTATTTAATTCTGACGGCTGGAATTGGGTTCTCTGGTGACATGATTCAACGCTGAATCGAATCACTGGTTGGAATCACAAGCTCGAGAAAATCATTCAATTCACTAACGAGCAGTGAATGAGCATCAGAAATCGTCGTCTCTACAGCAGGCACCGTTCCGAGGTTTCGTTAGCACCGTCTGCAAGACGCATCGTTAGCACGATGTATAATAGGTGGCAACGTATTAATTACCCTCTCCATTGAAATTATAGGAATAAATATCTTTGATAGTGAAAATGAACAAACCTGCGACCATATTACTTTCTCAGTGATAACGACTTAATTTGATGATATGCCTTCACCTATAGAGCACAATAAAACATTATATATATTTCCATAAATGGACCTCAGTTTTTGTCATGTACGCCACTATGTGAACAGTGATCGTGACCAAAGAATTTAATTGGATGATGCTATATCATCCAGTGATCCTATAGTATATATGATACTATACATTTACTCCTGAATGTAAACCTGTGTTGATTGGATGATGCTATATTATCCAATGGTCTTATACTATATATGTTTTTATATACCCTAAATAAGCCTGTTTTGATTGGATGATATTATATTTTTTAAACCGGTGTTGATTGGATGACTAACAACTATGTTAACCAGGATACTATTTATTCTAGAACATTGGGTCGTGCAGTCACTTCTAGTCGCTAATGCTTCAATATTGTGAAAAATAGCAGGGTGACACAGTGGTTACAGTTAAGAGTACCAGGATTGGCGCAGAGAGGTGCGGGTTCAATCCAAGTTCTGTGCGCCAGGTTCTGGTCAGAATCGGCGAGGAGGCCGGGCGGTTAAGCACAGCAGAATTGAAGATGTGAGTTACGCGTTCGAGATCGCAACAAGCTGTGGATGTTCTCGAACATCCTCAGCTCGAACATCACAAGACTGCAACAAGCTGTGAATTTTCTGTAATATTAAAAAATGGCTCAAGGTCTACGGCCTAATAAACGCTGAGACCGCTATTATTCTTAATATTTTCATTATTATACTCATCATCAAGAGGAGGATGATGCTGTTAAGTTCTGAATATCATTTCAATCTTGCATCAGTCAATAAAATTATTGATTTGGCCTCTACCTGTATTCTGTACGGTTGTCAGAAAAAGAATGTGAGTAGCAAAACTCAGCAAGTTGAACACTTTTTTATGCAACGAAAGTTAGTTTGAAAATATAATTGCAATCAAATTAATTCAATGAATTTAAATGAGATCATATCAACAATACATAAAATTAAAGAATGCGCAATGCAAAATTTTGAATAAGTCTCAGGAGAGTTAACGGGCGGGTGATTGTTCTGGTCCTTGCATTAAGTATTTTCTTCCGGATGCAGGTTGACGTATCGGTTGAGATCACCTTAGTAATGTTGCGGCGATAACGCCTGCCACGACCACGTCTCTACCTGTTTCAGGCTATCATGTAATCAACTAGGTAGTTCGGAACTTTTTTTTGTCATTCGGCTGAGAAGCAAAAGATAAAATTTACATATAGAGTTTCAAATCGAGCATGATATTGTATTTAGAGCACACGGGCCTTAATGGACAAGAAATATTATGCGAAACATATGCGAACAACGAAATATAAATATTATGAAATAATACTTCGCTGACTATTGCCAGCACTAGAAATCTTCATTGTGTATCTCACCTTATCAGATACTGGGAGATGGGCAACACGGCTTCCGCTACCGCCCCAGCATTCCCTACTGCCACAGCTGTCGATCTGCCAGGAGCAACAGCATCGGTTTACCGCATTGTGGTAGGCAACCTGCACCTGAGCCCCATGATCATGCGGTTCGTCCTCAGCAAGGAATGCCAGGACAAGCGGGAAGATGAGACCTACCGGCAGTACGTGGATCGCCTGAGGACAGAAGCAAATAAGTCGCCAATCACGAACAATGAATGGAAAAAGGCACTAGGATTCTCATCATACGTTTTTAACAAGTTAACTGATGTCAAGGAGCAAGACGTCACAGGCATCTTCAGTCTGCTCAACTACATTCTCACCACAGTTCACAGAGACAATTCGCAGGATTGTGGAGAACTGCTCAAGAAGTTGAAGAACGTCAAGAATTTTCGAAATAAAGCCTTCCACAACCTCACTGCCGTCCAGAACGAGCAAACCCTAATCGATCTTATAGCAGCTCTGAATGATCTGATTGATGAAGCCGGGAGATTTTACGCTCTTCCCCCAAATGAGATCTATGATATTAAACGCGAATTAAATCAGGACATATCCAAATTGGATCTGAATCAGAAGAGCATTTACTATTGGTGTTCTCGGCTGATGATGAACGGCAAACAGGCCGTGCAAGTTCTTTGGAAGGCCAGGCTATCCAGTGAAGTGCTCGGTCTAGGCGATGAAACAATAAAGGTCCAGCGTCGAGACGTATTCCACGCAGCAGAGGTGAAGGAGAGGGCAGGCACTAGCGGAGAGGGCTTTTCTTACACAAAAATTTTCAATGGATGTGAGGAGATTATCTTAGTAACGGGCGTCGCCGGCGCAGGTAAGACAACCCTCGTCAAGAACATCGTGCTGCAATTCTTCGACCTGCAACAAGGGACTGCCGATTACCTTAGCTCTTTTGACCAACTCATCTTCTTCGAGTGCAGGGATCGCATCAATCAAGAACTGAGTGACGTTATAAAGCTCCATTTTAATGATTTGTGCAACGAACCAGGTGGTCAAGTGAAAGTCCTTGATGCCATTTTACGACTTCGTGTCTTATTCATCATCGATGGCTTTGACGAAATCAACGAATTTTCCATGAAAGTCGTGACCGAGATTATCAAATTGTCGTGGCGTCCTAACTGTCGTGTGTTGATCACGACTCGTCCTCATGCCGTAAAAGCGAAGCTGGCACCGCTCCTGAGCAGCAACGATGTCAGCTCTGCTGAGTACGAGATCCTGCCGCTCACGAAGCTTGCCGACCAACTTGAATTCTTGCAGCGGTATGAAAAGGCCCTGAGCGTCGACACTCCGACTGGGGAGATGGCAAAGAGCTTCAAGTCACTCAGTGAAGATGTTAGAAGTCAATTCACTGAACCAATTAACTTGGTTCATTTCTGTGAGATGCATAAGCACTTCCCTGAAGAGATATCCTTGTGGCAGTCGCCAGGGGACGTGGCGCCATCCATTATTCGCTTGTATAAAAAACGCATCCTGTCGAAATTGGCGGATTCGAACTACAGCGCAACTGACGTCTTGGTTGCCGACCTGTTTGATGTAATCGGTCGTGAGGCGTTGGAGCTGCTGCGCGACAACAGCGTAACATTGTCGGGAGAGGAGCTCCTTGAATTGAAGAAGAAGTGTAAAGAAAAAATAGATGCTACTGGGAAATTCGACCCGGAAATTGTTCTTTCAGTTTTACTGAAGGAGCAAAAGCCACTATTTAAGTTAGGTGACAAGAGCTATACCTTCCCGCACAAGACGGTGCATGAGATCGTCGCTGCAGACCACGTCGTGCAGCGCATCCGTGCAGGCAAAGACTCTCTCGCCTGCATCCTGGGAGCCAAGACAGAGGAAATACCACGGTAAGCAGACAATTGCATGATGTTTTTTATGTTGTTTTTACTTTCGATTCATTTTCCTTTTTCTACATTTGCGTTAATTTTCATTTCCGTTATTTAGCTATTGTATTTACCCTTCTACTCAATATGGTATTTACCCTCCTACTTATAATTCTATTTACCCTTCTAACTTATTATTGTATTTACGCTCCTATTTACTATTGTAATTACTCTCCCACATACTTTCGTATATACCCTCCTACTTACTATTGTATTTACCTTCCTACTTTCCATTGTATTTATTCTCCTACTAACTATTATGTATACCCTTTCTATCTATTAATGTATATACCCTAATACTTGCTATTGTACTACGTGCAAGAAGTACTGATGGCATGAGCTGCATGCCGCTCTGATGGCATGAGCTGCATGCCGCTCTGATGAGGGGTCCTGGGGGGCCGTGGCCCACACCATCACCACCCTGGCCCCCCCTGGCAAGAGGTGCGTAGCCCGCCGACCCCGCGGGGGGAATTAGAGTTCAATTTGTTATACATCGTATAGTTATAAATCTTAAAGTTATACATCTTAAAGTTATTCATCGCCTAGTTACACATCGTATAGTTCTATATCGTATAGTTATACATCGTGTAGTTATACATCGTATAGTTATAAATCGTGTAGGTATACATCGTATGGTTACACATCATATATTTATACATCGTATAGTTGTGAGATGTGCGTCTGAGTGAATGACACTACAGCTTCTGCACCTGCACTGACAGAAATTTGACTGCTGTTTTGATATACTTAGGTGCATCAAATCATCTCCGAGCGATCGTGCCAAAAGCGAGATACCTACGGCCGCCCGGGTGCATCAAAGAATTCCAAGTATATCGAAATTAGGAATTTCGATATACGCGCATGCATCAATGTGAAAATAAATCTACGGAGAATGAGACCTTCTTTTCAGGATCTCTGTAATATCCTTGCCCAGTTTCCAGGGCCTGAAGAAATCATTCTATCATATTCTACTCTTCCGGTCGATCCGTCTAATCCATGGCCGCCTCCCTACTAAAATTATGAAAACTATATTTCTCCGTCACTATTTGATTTCAACGCTTTTCTCCTTCGCAGCGGAATTAGTCACATATTTATTCCTTCTACACATATTTATTACACGATTTATATCGGTATGTACAAACATCATGAAACTTCACTCTTTGCTCTCACCTCTTTCGAACTCTGGTTGAAGAAACTGCTAGCCGCCCGCCGAGATCCGAACCTCTGCCGAGACAGTAGTCGAGTGCGCGCGACTATGCCTTAGCCCACTGAGCCACGGAGACGTCAGTCACATAGAGTCGCAGTGCTTGCTTAGTCTTGCGCGCGGTACTACCAGAATAAATCTTTAATTTTAAGATCAACTTATTATGTGATAGAATGGTATAGACGTCGTTCGTTAACATTACTATTGACAAAAGAACAGCAGTGAGTTGAAACAATTAAAAAAATTGAGCTGCGACAATTGACCGTATGCAGTGTAGATTCGTGGCATTCATGAGCGGCGGCTCCACACAACCTCCTCCTGTGAGAGCACTCGGCGCACTGACCAATGGCCGTGCGGCGCACTGACCAATGGCCGCGCGGCGTTAGCCGCACAAATTTACGTGCATCGAAGCTCGCAAGTGCATCACCTACTGATATGCTTAAGGCGCCGAAATTTTCTCTCTGTGTGGGGTCATATAGTAAAACATCGTATATCGTATAATTATACTAAGTATAGTCGTACATCGTATATAGTTATACATCGTATAGTTATACGTCGTATAGTTATACAACGTATAGTTAGTTATACATCATGTATATATAGGGAATGACACAGCAGTTTGTGTGCCCAGATTCTATTCGCTGGCGCTGCTGGGCAGTAGGCTTCGTGCAGAGGAGCTGCGGCGGCTGCTGCGCGCGCTGCACGGGGCAGGAGTGCGGACGGGCGACGGGGGCGACACGCACGCCAACTTCGGGTGAGTGGACGGCGGCCACTGAACTGTGGGCCAATATTCTTATATCAGTGAATAATAATTATAAATATCTGTGCGTGTGTGTTTTATCTGGGATTAATGAGGCTATGTGTGTGTTCTGCATTGGATTAATGAGGCTGTGTGTGTGTTTTGTGTGGGATTAATGAGGCTGTGCGTGTGTGTTTTATCTGGGATTAATGAGGCTATGTGTGTGTTCTGTGTGGGATTAATGAAGCTGTGCGTGTGTGTTTTGTCTAGGATTAATGAGGCTGTGTGTGGGTTTTGTGTTGGATTAATAGGATGTGTTTATTTTGTATGGGATTAATTAGGATAAGTGTGTATTTTGTGTGGGATTGTGTGGCTGTGTGTGTTTTGTGTGTGAATAATAAGTCTGCGCGTGTGTTTTGTATGACGTATGGATGTCATTCTCTTTAATGTAATTAATATATAACCTCACTCACGGCCTAGACAGTCTATCTGCAGTTCGATTTAATTTTATAAAATTAGTGCTCATGTGATTTTATTTGTAACGCAATTAGTTTGATATTTTGTTGAACGAGTTTGAATTTATGAACATGATTCTTGTATTGTTGCAGGCCTGCAGAGAGGGAACGCTTGCATCGCTTGCACCCCCGGTGAATGCTGGTGAATGGCAAAATGATGGTGGTCAAGATGGTGGTCAAGGCAAAAGTAAAGTAAATATGTTCATAAATGTCAAGGATAACAAATGAGGAAAGAGAGATTGAGTGCGAGAAGGTCCAGGATGCTAACTGCTGGTCTCATTCATTGGCCATGTCAGCACTTCAGAATGGAGTTGCCAACTCCAGAGTATGTTCTTTTACAAATTAGATTAAGTTTAGCAGAATATCCGAGAGTGTTAATCTGGAACTGATTGCTGCAGTTAGGTTTACGGTTTGCGATTATCATAAGAAATTTTACTCTTCGATTCAAGGATCGCAATTTTTCTTTTGGCCCGTACGCCATCATCTTGATAACTTTTGCGATCTAGCAATGAAAATCTCGCAAAGACGTTGTGGAGGTGAATATTAAACAATAATTAGCTAATTATCTTGATATAAATCTTTTGTAATATATATAAAGAACAAATTATTATTCCTGAACCTGTAAAACAGTCAGAAGTGTTGATGCTGAGGTCAAGAAATTATTAGATTGCGGAATTGTCAAGAAATGTACACGTCAGTGGGCATCGCCTGCAGTGGTCGTTCAAAATTGTGATGTTTCTTTGCGTTTGACCGTCGATGTTTGGAAAGTCAATAATTATCTCAAACAGATAAGTTTTTCAAAGCCAAATGTTTAAAGTGTGAATAATTTGACGCAAACGAAGTAAAGTACCTTGAAAAGCTAGGCTAAGCTTAAACATTTCCATATAAATGCGTTGGAGTGAACATATAATTAATAATCATTTTTTGGCATTTATAATGTTCACTAAGAATTTAATGTTTCCTTTGATAGAAAATGTATTGATTTATTCGTAATACTTATGAGCATTTGATCTTGATTTACTGATTTGTATTTGCGTCTTGATGTGTTGCAACATTCATTTATTAGCGTTACGTTGTTATCCCTGTAGTTATACGAGCGGAGTGAGCCTCTTGTTGCTCACGTCTTCCGCCAGGGCGTTTCTCGCCACCAAAATTACATGAGGGATTAATTAGACTTTCTGTTTTGTGTGGGATTTACTAGACCGTATCTGCGTTATATATCTGTGTGCCATTAATTATTCAAATAAACACGTGATTAAATTTGCCACACTCGTTTCATTCTCCATAGCCACCAGGGACTTCGCTAGGACCACGAGATGCTAGGGACCATGATATGCTAGGACCATGAGATGCTAGGGACCATGAGATGAGATGGTCACGGTCGTGATGGTGCCGTGTCCCGACCACGACACGTGCCGCCGTTTGTATTTTTAGCTAGTAGTCACTCCAAACAAACTATCGACATATCATTCATAATAAGAAAAAGATTTTCTTCCAAGAAACCAAATTACTAATTAATAATATTCAATAATTTGCGTTCTATTACCTGGGAGGAGCAGCAAAGCGTTGTTACCCATTGTGTACCTCATGGACTTTAAATCGTAATTTGCTGGAAAATGCTACTTTTCTTCAACGAAGCGAAAAATTAAGAAAGTTCGTCAAAGTATGTAACAGGATCAAGTAGAGAGTATGCAGAGTTGAATGATATTTTTATGCTAGTATTGAAGTTATACACACAAAATTACATGATATCTGATGGTTACTTTTGACCCGGCAATAAAATACTAAGGAAGACGTTTTATAAATTTGATTGAAACATAATACAATATCTAAAAGATTCGCTGTTCATGCGGTGCAAGATAAATTTTTGCTTTCGACTGGCACATTTTCGAATGAGAATGGAAAATATAAACTTGGTCGTATAAAAGGAATTCTTTAGGAAAAGTTCGTCCGCACCAGACAGGCGACCTGAACCCCCAGCCTGCGTCACATCAGACAGGCGACCTGCGCCCCCAGCCTGCGTCACATCAGACAGGCGACCTGCTCCCCAGCCTGCGTCGCACCAGACAGGCGACCTGCGCCCCCAGCCTGCGTCGCACCAGACAGGCGACCTGCGCCCCCAGTTCTCACCAGACATAGACATCACCGCGATGCAGACATAACCTCTTACCAGACATAGACATCACCGCGATGTGAAGACATGATCACGCATCACAGAGCCTCCCTCCTCAGGGGGCCGTTATCTCAACTGATAAGATAAGACCTGCCGGGGCTCACGTAGGCTGAGCGCCCAAGTAAGAGCCAGCAGGACCATTACTTCAATTATCCTTATTCCATATATTATATATAACCTGTTATTCTATATATTAAATATCACTATATATAACTTATTATTCTATTTTTATAGACATCCGTTATAAGAGTTATGACGCGAGTCATTTCGAGAGACATAATTGATATATTGTAAGTTCTAATTTCATCAAATGACACAAGTATATCCATAACGAACGACGCTTCAGCTCAGAGTAACGACTGCCACAAAATGCTTGATAAGTATCGAAGTTTCTTGATGAAAATGTTATTATTGTTATTCTATGTATAATATATATAATTATATATAAGTTATAAGGAAGTTTGTTTGAACGGCCGTTCACTGGCATATAGCAGCGCGTTCAAATGAAGTGTTAACGGAACCATGTAGTCATCACGGCAGTGGCATATACTTGTGCCATTTAATTACATCATTTCGAGAGAGGAACCATTCGAAATATTTTCGCCAAGAACTCCAGCGTGAAATAAGGAATTGATATTCCGCCAAGATTTTGAAACGTTAAGCATGAAATGCCTTCACCAGTCCGTGTCACTATTTTTCTCTATCTAATCTATAATCTTTTGAAAGATACCGAGACCACTTGATTAGAAATGTTGCCTTACAATCAAAATAATCATCTGAAGGTACATGCAAATTGGTCATAGATAAATAAATTTTAATATCGAATTCAGTGATAGAAAACTGAATATATATTGTTGTACTCATTAATTGTGAACTATATTCTTTGTTCTTTCACACACAGAAGCAACACAGCACGACTCAATGGAAAAGAAAAATATGCTATTTGGTAATAAAAGCTTTCAGGTGAAAAGGCCATACATGCTATAAAAAGGCTTCGCGGGCTTAATAGTTGACATGTACGAATGTAATAGTGACAACAAGTGCAACAAAAATTCATCCAAAATAACACATCTTAAAGAAAAGGCAGTACATAAGTAAATTGTCACAAGAAAAAACTATTTGATAAACAAAGTAAAATTAGTAATGAGCTGGAATAAGATCACGAAATATTGTCTTTAAGATGGATTGAGTACAGTTTATTCTGAAATCATCAGGCAGTTCATTAAAATGTTTTACACAATTAAAAACATTCCCATTTTTCTTTATTTCTAAACGGACTGGTGGAAGGTTGAGACGACGACAGGGTGTGCAAAAAAAGTTCAAAAAGACTCTGGTCTTGAAAAAGTGCCCTATTCATCAATTTTAAAAGCTTAAATTTGTACATGTCGTCGAGTTTCAGGATTTTTTAATGTCTATATAATTCATTAGTACGAATCAATGGTATATTGTTAACATATCTAACTCTGCGGATTGCCCGCAATGTCCTGTTCATCAACGTGATAACCGTTTTTTTCACAGAGAGGCACTCCACCCCATATTACAAGGATATTAGAAAATTTAGATAAAAACAACGAATAGAAAAGCATTTTTAACGAGGACAAAGGTAAAATACTTGATAGAGCATGCAACACTCCATGGGCTTTGCTAAGCCCTTGGCAAACGGAAGTAATATGTTTTTTAAAGACATTTCATTGTCAAGGATTAAGCCTAGATAACGAAAATCATCAACCTATTCTAAATTGATACAGTAAAAGAGATGTTCCGAGGGGTGACAACAGGTCTAGACGTAAAAAGCATCAGTTTAGTTTTATCAGTGTGTGCAACTAACTTATTTACTAACAGTCATCTTGACAAGTCTGCGGACAGATCCGAAATGCTATCACACGCTTCATCGTAGGTACTTTTCGAGAAATATAAGCGGCATCATCAGCAAAAATCTTGCAGCTCGCATTAAAAGAAGAGGCGATATCATTTATGAAAATATTAAAAAGAAGAGGCCCCAGAACAGAGCCCTGTGGTACTCCAATCGTGATTGGTCTTGAGGGCAATTTGAATTCGCTGAATGAAACATATTGTTCTCTATTGGTTAGATATGACTTTATCAATGCATAAAAAGGCCCTCTAATACCGTACCGGTAGAGTTTATTGAAGTGAATTTGATGGTTCACGCAATCAAAGACCTTTTGCAGGACAAGAAAAAGAGCAATACCGTTATTTTTAGCATTCCTTAAGTAATTCTAGGACTAAGTAAAATATAGCCATTGTAGTGTTGGTGCTCGTACAGAATTTAAATTGATTATCAGATATCAAAGAAAATTTGTCAAGGAAATTCGTAAGTTTAAAGTGAAGAATTTTTTCAAAAATCTTATTAAGGAAGGGCAAGGTAGATATGGGTCGATAGTTGCATATGTTACTTGAGTTGCCAGACTTAAAGACCGTTATGACACGAGCATGCTTTAGTACATCAGGATAAATTCCAGTAGACATACCGTACACAATTTAAAAATACTAGCTAAAACAGGCGCAATAATATCAGCAACCTCGCACAATACTCGAGGCTGGATTTCCTCAACGTGGAGCCTCTTGCCTTTGCACAATCGTAACAAGCTCTTTACCTCAGATGCAGAAGTAGGAGATAGGAAGCATGACGCGTCCCAGAACGGAACACCACAAGTCGATGTTACGAGCTGTACTCACTAATTGTGAACTATATTACGAGCTGTACTCACTAATTGTGAACTATATTACGAGCTTTACTCACTAATTGTGAGCTATATTACGAGCTGTACACACTAATTGTGAACTATATTACAAGCTTTACTCACTAATTGTGAACTATATGAGCTACCGAAGGTTCAGTTCGCGCTTCGTCTTCTCGGTCTTCAGTTTCATTGCGGTGAACAAAGAGCGAATCTGCCGAGCCTGGTTTGGCCATTCAAACTATGCATTTAATGGAGGGCAATGAACCAACATTGAAACAGATCCTAAACATTTGATGATAAAATTATACGGCGTACATATAATATATTTACACGTATAATGTCACAATTACATAAATCCACGAATTTATTATCTAAATCATTATAATACGCCAGCAATTAGCTACGTTAGTGTGCTGAACTAAAGCGCCTCCCCCCGCGCTGTTATCTCCATGGCCGCGATTAGATAAGGGCGGCCCTGCCCCGTGCCAGGTTGATGGAAATAATGAAATTTCGTTGGTCACAACACATCAAAGTAAATAATGGATATTTCGCTGGTCACAACACATTCGTGTCTTTAAAATGTGAGCAGATCAGCTAATGTGTTTTTCTGCCCCAAATTGATCTGGATTTCTGTCTGCAAATGGAATGTTTGTAATAAGTTGAGGTTGTTTGCATTACCGTGCGTGTGATCAGGCATATACCTGCTCGCTCCTCGCTGCTGGCGTCGCTACCAGTCAGCTTTCATTAACTCTCTACTGTAGTTAAAACTTAACATATTTAACTAACCAAGCACTAACTGCTAGTTCGTATTAGGGGCTTTTAACGGATCATTGCAATTACAATATGAATTTGAATTACACATTATATACAGTTAATATATCTATAGTTAATCTATACAGACACTATTTATAGAATTGCTTTATCTACACAGTTAATATAATGATGGTATAATATATGCGCAAACTTATCAGAGAACAGCAGCCAAACATCAGATAATGACATGCAGACCAAGCCTCACAGGATACAAGATGGGGAGATAAGGTTTGAAATTACAGGCAAATATAACAGTTTTTGAATAAAGATTATTATCAAGCGAGTTGCGGCATGTCAACCACCAGGACGATGATGAGTCGTTTCCGAGCCCTGCCATGCACTGTGTTACCTGCATCGCCTGAGCTGCGCGGCGAGATAAGCAGGAGGCCGCTTATCAGGCCGGGGAAGATAACGAGTGTCAGCGCCTGCAACTACGCGCCTTCTGGTGCGAGTGTGGAGCTTCCATTAAAACGTCCATTCCTCTAAAGCAAGTGTTGCATTCAGGTTAGTATTAATGACAACTTTTATAGCCTCCATCGTTTACATTGTCTCCTGCAGGAAATTTGTAAAATGAGTTCTTTTTCTTCTGTGGAAGGAAACGATGAAAATGTTTGAAGAATATTCGAAATTCTGTCAGATTGTAATTAAGTTTTCAGTACTTAAGTTCGATAAGTGGTGATATTACCTTGGGGTAGCGTCTGAAATTCGATTAAAAATGAAACTGAAGTACCAAATTCGACCCTAGCACTCATTACATCATCAATCATCTAATGTTTTAAAATTTTATACCAGAAAAAATTCGCGATTATTAGCCACAAATCCAGCGGGACCCTGACGCTTGTTTTTCTCACTTTAGCCAAGGGATTTATCTGCCGTCACAGATTTTGTTTTCTAGAATAAATATGTATGGGCCTTTATGCGATCGGAATTTAGTTTATGTTAAGTGACTTCGATCATCAAATTTGTAATTTGTTAGTATAATATTTTCGAATTTTCTTTGCCCATGAAAAAGTATATCGTATAAATTTCTTGCCACAAGTGCAGCTATATATTTATATATAGATATAGATTATAGATTATATTTACATCCGTCATCCGAGATTGCGCAGCAAGAGGCTCCTGACGCGCGGTCTTCCCGTGAACGCGTGCCAGCAAACTAGTTTATTCATTTGTGAAGTTAAGGAATTTATGAAGATCAGGATGTGAAAGAATAGAAATTAATTAATGAATCCTACAAGAAAGATTCACTTTATGACTTTGGTCCAGACTCGTCCCAGGCATCCTCCTCAGTACCACCTCCCGCGTCTGTTGGTGCACGAGCTAAAGATTACAATTCTGGTATTGAAAGTATCTAGGAGTTAAGAATGGAGTAATTTCAGAGTAATACGGCAAGGGTATATTGAAAGTGCAAATCTAATATGTGTTTGTCTCAGTTCTTGTGTTTGAAGCCTAGCATCGTATATATACAGCGGCTGTTGGGTCGCGCTCCCGTTAGCGTAGCTGTACTTCCCCTGGAAAGATAGATCGAATCGTGGTGAAATTTTGGCTCATGTGCATGAATCTTAATCAAAGTTTAAATTGTTCATTACATTTGTTATTTTTAGTGTTGAAAGGATTTCAAACTACAAATTTAAGGTGCATGAGGCTGAAGTTAGTTGCTGCAGAAATTTGTTCGATAGATTTTTATATACGAAAAATAAGAGTCGAGTGCAAAAGATGCATATTGTATTTTTTATTTTTTATTTATGAAAAATTTATTTGGAATGATAAGGTGAATAAGGCTTAATTTTTTCGCTATTCTGTTGAATGCTTTCTTTACTATGAAATGAGCAGATATTTTAAGAATTTTTCTTTCTTCGATTCTGCTCAAAAAAATAATTTGTGATGGTTTAAGAAATATGAGGAAAAAAGTATCCTCCCAAAAAGGATACGTTGCTAATGAGCACAAAATATGATATATAATTTCAATAATAATGTCGAACACTTAATACAAAATGTAACTTGTAATTAATCAAATTGTCGACTGGATACACGAGCGAGTGGATTACCGAGGTCGGGGATGCGGTGGCTACGCCGGCATGCGCCGTTATCTGCTGCCCTGATAGCCGTTATCTGCGACGCCCTCAGCTGCGCGACTTGAGCACAAATTTCACGAGCGTCAGTTCAGTCGTTTATGAATTCTATTTGATTCTGATAACGGCGAAAATTCAACTCGAAATTATCCTCTAATATCGACCGTAACCTTAACTGCAACATTTAAAGTAACCGTTACATAAGCCCCACATAAACGCTTGCAAAAATCACTCAATCTTGATCCGATTTGCTTTGCACAGCTCGTGCACTTTGCACAGCTTATGCACTTTGCACGGCTTCTGCACTTTGCACAACTTCTGCACTTTGTACAGCTCGTGCACTTTGCACAGCTTCTGCACTTTGCACAGCATCTGCACTTTGCACAGTTTCTGTACTTTGCACCGCTTCTGCACTTTGCACAGTTTCTGTACTTTGCACCGCTTCTGAACTTTGCACAGCTTCTGCACTTTGCACAACTTCTGCACTTTGCACAACTTCTGCACTTTGCACAGCTTCTGCACTTTGCACGGCTATAACATGCCGTTGATGAGCGCAGTCTAGCGCGGATTGATGAGGTCGAGCGTGACCGGTGAAATTCACACGGTAATGATTTAATATCAAGTGTATAAAACATGATTTATTTGTCACCCCTTGAATGAGGAGTGGGCGAGTCATAATGTTTTGTTCACCGCATAGATTAAGCATCTGCATCATTAATGTTCATTTGATAGAGCAACAGGGAAAACCAAGGCCATTCCATTTATTAATATTATAATCGAGGCTATCATGGGATCAACTAATTCACTCGTTGACACCAAAATCGTTTGTAGCAATTTAAATCATTTGTACCAGTTTAAAAGTTACAATAAAGCAAGTTATACGGCTGTCGTCTCGTGCACGAGCTGTAGTGTACGCGCGTTTTCTTCATCGCCCTCCATGCCCAAATAAAAATTAAGGGTGGTGCACCGATGATTATAGGTGGCGATAGTTGTTTATAGGTGGCGTAACGGTGAGTGGCCAGATTTGCCAAAAATCGACAATAAAACATCAATAAATCGAAAGGGTGGCGAGTAAAGGTGGCAGTCATCTATGAATCATCGCTGATTTGTAAGGTCTGAATAATCGATAGCACATTGCAGGCAAATCTCTTTTCATTACAATGGATTGCTGGTCCATTACAATGGATTGCTGGTCATATTCATGCCTCCCCTCATCCTCCTGGGGGACAGGGTGAGGCTGGAGTGGTTCAAAGGCTGCGTGGGCACCTGCGCTGGTGTGGCCGCCCTCTCGTCATGCGTGGCCCGCGACGCTGAGCTCCACATCCACATGGCGGCGCCCCTGGACCTCAGCGTCCTCGGGGGGACATACAAGAGCCTCAGTGAGTCTTGCCCAGCATGGGGGGCGGCGCCCCTGGGCCCGTGGGCGCCGTACAATTATATATTGTATAGTCGTTATTTATTTTAATGTTTGGTGATTATTCGCAAGGATAATCACCAAATAACAAATAATCATGCAACATAAACTATTCTATAAATGCACAATATTTAGTAATAAATATATATAGCATATAGTTCTTATATACTATATGTAAAATATTATGTATATTATATATGATATTGTATATTTAATCCTCATTCTAATCTGTTATCCTCATTATTATCATAATTGTTATAATGATGTTATCATTATAATATCATTATAATGATGTTATAATGTTTATAATTTGTTTATAATATCCTCATCATTTGGCGCTGCGCAGGGGTGTACACGCGCCCCCTCCCGCCCCCTGGCCACTCCTCCCCCACGTGGCCGCTGCCCCCCTCACCCCTGCCATGGCTGACCGTGGAGGGGGCGGATGAGGGGTCCTGGAGGGCCGTGGCCCACACCATCACATCCCTTGCCCCCCCTGGCAAGAGGTGCGTAGCCCCCCCGACCCCGCGGGGGGAAATAGAGTTCCATTTTTTATACATCTTATAGTTATACATCGTATAGTAATTCGTCGTATATTTATTTATACAGTGTAAAAATATACAACGCATAGTTATACATCATATAGTTATAAGCCGTATAGTTGTACATCGTATGGTAATACATTGTATTGGCATACATCGTATAGTCATACATAGTATAGTTATTTATCGTATAGTTGTGAGATATGCACATGGGGAATGACCCAGCAGTTTGTGTGCCCAGGTTCGGGGAGCTGGCGCTGCGGGGCAGCAAGCTCCGTGCAGAGGAGCTGCCGCCGCTGCTGCGGGCGCTGCACGGGACAGGAGTGCGGACGGGCGGCAGGGGCGACACGCAAGCCTACTTTGGCGGGTGAGTGGACGGCGGCCACTGAACTGTGGGCCAATATTTCTGTATCTCGGATTATATTATAATACATGTAGTGTATATAGAATTAGACTACAATTATAGTTTTGATATATAATTATATGGACGCCGATTGATTATGTAATTATTTTTATAGCGCTTATAAGATATATTTTATAGCGCTTTATCTTATTTATATATATATATATATAGACTACAAAGATAGTACTGATAGTGAATGATGGCCGCCGCGAATGAAACAAAATGGCGGCCGATGATGATGGATCGCCCACTCAGATGGCGGCCAATCATTGGACACAGCGCCATCATCATGACAATCATTATTATTTGACATATCAGAATAATGATATGTCGTCATTATTGTTAATCCCTTATCATCAACCTATGTTCATATTAATTAGACATAATTTAAGTAATAATATTAATAATGCTAATAAATATCATTATATATTATTTTGTATTGTATTACATCGAATTATATTATAAACAATATATTACACATATTATCCAGTATATATTCATAACGTAACTTATTAATAATTAAATAATTAAATTATATAATGATAAGAGCAATAATAATTGTTGTTGTTATTATCAAAGAGACAAGTCCTCATGCATTGACCAACAGACTTTGTCAGCAGTGAGTCAATTAATAATTTATTTATTTACTGAATACTATTTATAATTAAATTTAATAATGATTAAAATTACTATTATTTATTAAATATTTATCTATAACCCAATATCTCGTTATATAATATATCACATATATATTATTTAATATAATAAAAGTATGCATAATGCTAATCCTACATTATATTTATTCCAATTTATTAATTCTACATAATCCTATACGATTATATTGCATTAATGTATTCATGATGATCATCTAATCTTTAATATATTAATGATAAGATGATGGCGCTCTGTCATTGGTCGCCATTTGTGGGGCAATGATAGCGCCACACAAGATGGCGGCTGCTGGCATGCCACATGCCACATGCCACGCAGGATATTCACTGCCGCACTCCCACAGGGGGGCGGGGAATGTTCGCCTCTACATCAGAGACGACGTGCCTGAGAGGGGACCAGTGGTGCCCAGTGACGCCGACCTGCAGGCGACGTGTCAAGACTACCAGAGCTACCAGCGCCGCCTAGGACGATAATGTGTGTTTTGTGTGGGATTAATGAGGCTGTGTGTGTGTTTTGTGTGGGATTAATGAGGCTGTGTGTTGTGTTTTGTGTGGGATTAATGAGGCTGTGTGTGTGTTTTATGTGGGATTAATGAGGCTGTGTGTATTTTGTGTGGGATTAATGAGGCTGTATGTGTGTTTTGTGTGGGTTTAATGAGGCTGTGTGTGTGTTTTGTGTGGGATTAATGAGGCTCTGTGTGTGTTTTGTGTGGGATTAATGAGGCTGTGTTTGTGTGTTTTGTGTGGGATTAACGAGGCTGTGTGCGTGTTTTGTGTGGGATTATTGAGGCTGTGTGTGTGTGTTTTGTGTGGGATTAATGTGGCAGTGTGTGTGTTTTGTGTGATATTAATGGGGCTGTATGTGTATTTTGTGTGGGATTAATGAGGCTGTGTGTGTGTTTTGTGTGTGGGATTAATGGGTCTGTGTGTGTGTTTTGTGTGGGATTGATGAGGCTGTATGTGTGTTTTGTGTGGGATTAGTGAGGCTGTGTGTGTGCTCTGCATGACGCATGGATGTCCCTCGTTTTACTGTCATTAATATATAACCTCACTCACGGCCTAGCCAGTCTTTCTGCATTTCGATATAATTTTATATAATTAGTGTTTATGCGATTCTATTTGTACCGCAAGTAGTTTGATATTTTGTTGAACGAGTTTTAATTTATGAACATAATTTTTGTTGATTTACAGAGCAGGGCAGAGTCACTCTCGTCGCTTGTGACGATATGGTGAATGATGGTGATGGTGACAGTGATGGTGACGGTGATGGTGACGGTGATGGTGATGGCCATGTCTGCACTTCAGAACGGATTTGCCAACTCCTGGGTTCGTTCTCCTATGAATTAGATTACGATTAGCGGAATATCTGCGAGTATTAATTTGAAACTGATTGTTGCAGTTTGGTTTACGGTGTGCGATTATCTGAGGAAATTTCACTCTTCGACGCAAGGATCGCAGTCTTTTGGCCCGTACGCAATCTTGAAAATTTTTGTGAAGTAGCAGGAAAAATCTTGCGAAGACGTTGTGGAGATGAATATTAAACAACAATTAGATAGTCATGTTGATATAAATCATTTGCAATATGTATCAAGTATGAAATTGTTATTCCTGAGCCTGAAAACTGCCAGAAGTGTAGATGCCGAGATCAAGAAATGGAATTGTCAAGAAATGAACCCGTCAGTGGGCATCGCCTGTGGCGATCGTTCTAAATTGTGATGTTTATTTGCGTTTGACCGTCGATTTTTGAACAGTCAATAATTTTCTCAAAACAGATAAGTTTTCCTATGCCGAATCCTGAAAGTGCGGTTAGACGCAAAATGAAGCTAAATGCCATGAAAAGCTAGGCTTAACTTAAACATTTCTATAAGTGCCTTGAACTGAACATTTAATTAAGTATACTTCTTTCGGTATTAATAATGTTCAGTACGAATTCAATGTTACCTTTAATAGAAAATGTGTGGATTTATTTGTAATACTTATGATTATTTGAACTTGATGTACTGATTTGAATATACATATGTGTTGAAGTCTTGTAACATTCATTTATTAGCGTTACGTTGATATCCCTGTAGTTATAGGAGCAGAGTGAGCCTCTTGCTGCTCACGTCTTCATGCAGCCAGGGCGTTCCTCACCACCAAAAATACATGTGGGACTAATTAGACTTTCTGTTTGTATGGGATTTACTAGACCGTATTTGTGTTATAAATAGCACTAATTATTCTAATAAATACGTGATTAAGTAAGCCAGAGGCATTTTCATTCGCCATAGTCGCCAGGGACTCGGCGCCTGAGTCGTGCTAGGGACCATGAGATGAGATGGTCACGGTCGTGATGGTGCCGTGTCCCGACCACGACACGTGCCGCCGTTTGTATTATTAGTAGTCACACGAAACAAATTATCAACATATCATTCAAGATAAGTAAAATATTTTCTTCCATCAAACCAAATTACTAATTAATAATATTCAATAATTTGTGTTCTGCTACCTGGGAGGAGAAGCAAAACGTTGTTACCCATTGAGTTCCTCATGGACTTTAAATCGTAATTTGCTTGAAAATGCGACTTCCCTGCAATTAACCGGAAAACCAAGTTTAAGAAGGTTCTATATAGGAAGTATTTAATAGAATTAAGTTGATAGTCTTCAGAGATGAAGGATATTTTTATGCATGTATTGAAGTTATAGACGCCAAATTACATAATATCTGATGGGTCTAACTTTCACGGCAATAAAATCTCAAGGAAGAGGTTTTCGCATCCAATGAGTTTAATAAATTTAATAAAAGGATAATAAAATGTTTAAAAGATTCGCGGTTCACGCAAGGTAAAATGATAAATTGATCGTAGAAAACGAATTCTTTAGGAAAAGTTAGCATCATCAGACAGGCGACCTGCGCCCCAGCCTGCGTCTCCAGACAGGCGACCTGCGCCCCAGCCTGCGTCTCCAGACAGGCGACCTGCGCCCCCAGCCTGCGTCGCACCAGACAGGCGACCTGCGCCCCCAGCCTGCGTCNCCTGAAATATTTACTACAGGGAGACCTAAAATATTTACTACAGCGAGACCTGACATATTTACTACAGCGAGACCGGAAATATTTACTACAGGGAGACTTGAAATATTTACTACAGGAAGACTTGAAATATTTACTACGGCGAGACCTGAAATATTTACTACAGGAAGACTTGAAATATTTACTACGGCGAGACCTGAAATATTTACTACAGGGAGACTTGAAATATTTACTACGGCGAGACCTGAAATATTTACTACAGGGAGACTTGAAATATTTACTACGGCGAGACCCGAAATATTTACTACAGGGAGACCTAAAATATTTACTACAGGGAGACCTGAAATATTTATTCAAATAAGTGGAAGGAGACACACACTGAAATACTAGCAGAAATATTTTGCAATGATGTCCTTCTTAATTAATAGGAATAGGAACTTGTTAAATCAAACTAAGTAATCAGATAAGCTTTCTGCGAGTTATAACCTTTAAGGTCGCAAGATCGAGTTTAACACGTTGACTCCGAAGTGGGACATATGCGTACCACGAAGTTTATTCAGGACGTAGTGGTACATAATTCAGGGTTGCCAGATGGCCTAAAAAACGGCCAAGTCCGCGAACAAAAAAGGCCTATAAAGGCACATAACTCAGTATATACTAATATATTTGTAAGTTCCGGTGTAAAAATTCCATTTATTTTCAGTTTAAATTTAACAAGGAAGTACCCCTATCGTAAATTGCAGCCGGCCAACACAATTGAAAAAAAAAACTAAATCGCGGAATTTGTCCGGAAAAGAGAGACTATTTGGAATCCTGTTTCTAAATATTACAAAAACTAAAAAATATTACAGGATGAAGCAATCGGAGTCAACGAAGTTAAGTTAGCGTTGTATTCGTCCACTAATTTATTTGTAAGCGCCAAGTTTTCGTATTAAATGCGATCTCGTAGACAACTTTTAGAGTACGATCAAACTGTTGGAGTCCGATCAAACTTTTGGAGTCCGATCAATTTTTTGGAGACCGATCAAACTTTTGGAGTCCGATCAAACGAGACGTTCAATTTGTTGCAAACAAACCGTGACTACCAACTGAGATCACGTAGATGATATATTGTAACCTAAAATTCAACACATTTAATCAGATTGGACAATTTGACAGGTTAATCATTCAAAATTAACGTGATTTAGTCTGATAACAAATGGGTATACCGTTCATAATACCAAGATGTATAGCACCCAACGGAACTATGCTTAAAACTCCTGTATACATTCAATTCAGTGACACCTTTGCTGAGATCAGCTCTAAGTTCCGTTTTTTTTTATCTCCAGTGAACAAGTCTGGATGTGCCGGGATAATTCCGGCACAAGGATATACATTTTTGGCATGAGACTTTTACTGTAGCGAGCTTTTTACTTTACCACATCAGCATTTGGGACAGAGATTGAATTTTTGGTAGTTATAAACTTCAACGTCGTCCTCCGTTATGAGGACAAAATTCAACCGAACAGATTTGTAGGAAAAACACAATATGATGAGTAATACTCAGTTACCACTCAAAGTTTGTAGGTGTTTGCTCATAATTACCTGTTATAGATAATCAGAGCCTACCAACCTGGCCAAGTGGTAGTTTGCTATTGGCCTATATCGCTTAAGTGTACTTTTTAATGAAGCTAATTATAAGTCATTTATGTTGTATAAGAAATTTATGTACGAGTTCTCTAAAGATAACATGAATACTGTGAGATAATATTTATTCTATAACTTGGCATAATTCTTTGTGTCCAAATCACCAAAACAAATACTGAAGCTTTACCTCACTAATTAGTGATGTGAGTATGGATGCTCCGATACTTCAATTAATGGAATAGAATATAGAAGTGTCGGCACCGAAGAAATTGGCCCGTGGCCGGTTGCCGATTCTTGAATTTTTCGTGACTTGATTCACAAGGGATCCGGCCTTTGGAACCCGATCTTTCCATAACTGACGATTGATTGAGATAGCTGCTGGACTTTTTGCCTGGTCCGTAATTTGCTAGGCATTTTAAGACTGAACATATGCTCCTGCATAGCTTCGTCTAGTGTCTAGTCTTTCCTTGAAGGCGTTCATACTCGGAGCGTCAACGATGCTATCAGGGAGGCTGTTCCGCATGTCGGTGACTCGCAGCGAGAAGAAATGTTGTCGCATGGATGTGTAACAACGCAGTTTTTTAGTTTATAGCCGTGGCCCCTGGTGTTGGTTCTTGTTTCAAATTCCAGTAATCCTTCTGGGACCTTGTATAAACCGTGGGTATACTTGTATACTTCAATGAGGTCACCACGCAGACGTCGATAACAGAGGCTTGGAAGCTTCATAATTTTTAAACTTCCTTCATAAGGCTTGCCTTTTAAACCAGGAAATATCCTTGTTGCACGTCTTTGAACACTTTCGACTAAATTTTGTCCATTTTTAGTTTCGGT